CACACTCTATTACCCCCCCCTCCCCCTCGCCTGATGTTTGGTGACCTTCAGATTAAACCAGCAGTCATCTCTGTCTCATGAGACAGCAGCCTATGGTCCTCTGGGATTATGGCAACTTTCCCTTTTGTCTATAATCACTATGACCTCAATGTCTATCTCGCCCTAACCTTCAGACAATCTAAAACTGCAATATCTATCATGGATGTTCTACTTCGATCATCTCTTTTTGGCTCCCTGCTACTTAATGCATTGTATTTGAAAACATTATGCTGACATTATATGGCCTTGTATGACACTAAGATGAGTGGCAGAGCAAAGTGTGCAGAGGACCGTGAAACTTTGCAGAGGAACATAGATACATTGAGTGAGTGGGCAAAGGTCTGGCAGATGGAATACAATATAAATAAATGTGAAGTCATACATTTTGGTAGGAGTAATAGTAAAAAGGGTTATTACTTGAATGGTAAAAAGTTGCAGCATGCTGCTGTGCAGAGGGACCTGGGTGTCCTTGTGCATGAATCACAGAAGGTAGGTCTGCAGGTACAACAAGTAATTAGGAAGGCAAATGGAATTTTGCCCTTCATTGCTAAAGGGATTGAAATAAAAAGCAGAGAGGTTATGTTGCAGCTGTACAAGGTGCTGGTGAGGCCACACCTGGAGTACTGTGTGCAGTTTTGGTCTCCTTACTTGAGAAAGGATGTACTGGCACTGGAGGGGGTGCAAAGGAGGTTCACTAGGTTGATTCCGGAGTTGAGAGGGTTGGTTTATGAGGAGAGACTGAGTAGATTGGGATTATATTCATTGGAATTCAGAAGATTGAGGGGGGATCTTATAGAAACATATAAAATTATGAAGGGAATAGATAAGATAGAAGTAGAGAGGATGTTTCCACTGGCAGGTGAAGCTAGGACAAGAGGGCATAGCCTCAAGATTAGAGGGAGCAGATTTAGGACTGAACAGAGAAGGAATTTCTTCACCCAGAGGGTTGTTAATCTATGGAATTCCTTGCCCAGTGAAGTAGTCGATGTTACTTCAGTAAATGTTTTTAAAAAAAAGGTAGATTTTTTTTGAACAATAAAGGAATTAAGGGATACGGTGAGAACGCGGGTAAGTGGATCTGAGTCCACGGAAGGATCAGCCATGATCTTATTGAATGGCGGAGCAGGCTCGAAGGGCCGGACGGCCTACTCCTGCTCCTAGTTCTTATGTTCCCTCCTGATCCCAATCATCACCTCCCACCAAGTCACCTAGAAATCCTATCTCACTAACCACTTTAATGTTGCAGCACATCTCGTCTGTTGCATCTTCCTTCCTACTTCACTTTTGGCCACAAGACAATCTGAATTTATTTACTGGCTTTACTGAGTTCCTTAATCCAAAGCTTCTGTAAATCAATACCCTGCATTGAACACCCCTACCCGAACATTTCAATTTAACAGCAAAACTTCATTTAAGATGAGGGGAGATGATGGCCCAGTGGTATTATTGCAGGACTGCTAATCCGGAGACCCAGATAATGTTCTGGGGACCTGGGTTCAAATCCTGACACGACAAATGGTGGAATTTGAATTCAATAAATATCTGGAATTAAGAATCTAATGATGACCGTGAATTCATTGTTGATTGTTAGGGAAAAACCCATCTGGTTCACCAGGGAAAGAAACTACCATCCTTACCTGGTCTGGACTACATGTGACTCCAGACCCACAGCAATGTGATCCCCTTTGGGCAATTAGGGATGGGCAATAAATGCTGCCTGGCCAGTGATGCCCTCATTCTGTTAATGAATAAAGGGACAGTCTGGATTCACTTTACAGGGAAAACTGCATTTCACTCACACATCTTGATCATGACTCAGCTGCTTCATTCCATAAGCTTGGTACTGCTGTGCAATGATCTGTATGGAAACAGAGTTCAGGTTTCAATAATGGATTCATACTGCATCTTTAATTTAGGTGCTGCACAGAGTGGTAACTGGGCACAGCAGGAATACAGGACAAAGTGTACATACAAATCCAGTGAGGTGGCTTAATTTTAAGTGACAGAACAGGTGAACTTAGCAATTCCTCCACAACATCCTGTAATACAACAGGTCACTTGGAGAAATTTCGTTGGTAGGATTGAAAGGTCATTCAGGGTTGATTGTGTGTCCTTGCTCATTTAGACTAAATACAGACCATTTGTGGGAAGTGGGAAGACAAAGTGAATCAATATTTGCCAGTGGCCTCACACCTTATTTAAGTTTGACACAGCATTTATTTCAAATAAAACATTACAAGTTTGTAACTCCATTGTAAGGTTTAAAGGACAATCTAGGGAGCAATCTGAAAGATCCTGAAAAAAAGTAACAAAAAGGAACCGACAGCAACTCAATTCATTTATGTGGCGAATTTCTTCTGTCGGATAGGTGCAGGCAGTTGTGCATTGATCTCCATCACAGGACGTTCCACCACCACAAGACAACCATCAAACAGAAGTTCAACATGCATCAGAGGCTGCAAAGAGAGAAGATAACATTCAGGGGATCTGACGATATGCGGAACACATCTATAGTTGGATGCAAAACAACATACCCCAGAGCAAATGAAAACAAAAACAAGACAAATACCATTTCCTCGGCTTGTGTCTGTCTCAGAATCAGCTTGTCTATAGACCATGACTGTATCTTAGTTTCAGAACGACCCTGGGTGGCGTCTGTAATGGACCTCAGTTCCCAACACTCTCTCCCTTTTGTTTAGTGTGGAACATTGAGTCAGCAGGTGGGAAAGGGAAAGTAGATGGAGAGTACTATTCTCGAACTCCTCAACACAAATGCATTAACACAAGGTATACCAATCTCCAGCTGGTTAGAGCAGCAAATTACTGCAAATGCTGGAATCTGTACCAAGAAAAAATGCTGGAAATCATTGCAGATCAGGCAGCATCCATGGGGAGAGAGACCAAGCTAACGTTTCGAGTCCAGATAGCTCTTCATCAGCAGTTGGAGTTAGTTTGTGAAACCTCAAAACTAGAAAGGTTTGGTTAGAAATTTTAAGGTTATTAGAACTGAGGAAATTTGGGCTTACAAATTTTTGTTTTGCGTGGCCCATTAGTTGCATCAAACAGTCCCCTTAAAGATTGATGTGCAACTGTGCACAAGTGGAGCGGGCAGGGAGCATGAAATATACAGTGGTCTTTCAGCGAGTTTACGACTTAGGACTATTTCAACTTTTGATCTATATTAATGACCTAAGTATATACATGACATAAGTTCAAGGCTGCAAACTACTATATTTCTCAGTCTTATGTCATGAACAAGCTAGCAAGAGACTTTAGGAAGATTGCATCAGTTATGACAGCTCAACACTACTTTATCAAGGGCAAGATTGGATAGGCGATAAATACTGGCCCAGTAAGTGACACCATATACCCTGAAATTTTTTAAAATAGTGATTGGTGATTTAGGTAGATATATGGCTTGTAAAAGTTAAGAGTTGAGAAGTGATTCATTTCAACAGGAATTAGAAGATGCAATACAAAATAAATGGAAAGATAAACTCCCATTATGCTGTATGACTCTCTCTCTATCCACCGTCTTTCACATCCTCAGATCATCTTAAAATGCTTTATAACCAATGAAATATTTTAAATTACAATATTGGAAATGTGGCAGCCAATTTGTGCATAGCAAAAAATCCCACAAACTGCAATGTGATAATGACCAGATAATTTATTTTTGTTGCATTGATTGAGGGATAATTATTGGCCAAGATAAGAAATAACATCTCTGTTCTCATTCAAAATTCTGTCATTCATGTATATATAAGACAGCAGATGAGATTTCTCTTTAGCGTTATTCAAAAGACAGAACCACCCTGAGAACTGCACTGAACAGTCAGCCAAGACCTTTGTGCTGAAGTTCAGAAGAGAATTGAACCCATAACTTTCAAAGGTGAGAGTGCTACTAATGTTTCAATTTTAAAAGGGATGAAGGAATTGAGAGATCCGAAGCTGTACACACAAATACTTGAAGGTGGCAGGACAAGTTGATTTAAGAAAAAAAAAATATTCAGGATCTTTACCAATAATTGACAAAGTAAGAAAAGTATTGATAAAGTAAATTATGATAAGACTTTAACAATGAATAGGTAGTCCTCATCTGAAGTATTGTTCAGTTTTTGGCATCACATTCTGGGAAGAACCAGGGTCACAGTATGAGGATTCAGGGTAGACCAATTAGGACGGAGATGAGGTGACATTTCTTCACCCAGAGTGGTGAGCCTGTGGAATTCACTACCACAGGAAGTAGTTGATGCCAAAGCATTGAATGTATTCAAGAGGCGACTAGATATTGCACTTGGGGTGAATGGGATGGAAGGTTATGGGCAGAAAGTAGGATTAGGCTATTGAGTTGGACGATCAGCCATGATTGTGAAGAATGGCGGAACAGGCTCGAAGGGTCGAGTGACCTCCTCCTGCTCCTGTCTTCTGTGATTTTATGAAAGTCAAAACCATGGACTGAATGCAGATCTGGGATTGTTGGCCATCCTGTAAAAGTGTTAAAGGGGGACTCAATGGCACATGTAGGGGACAACAGCAGCTCACATATGAAACATCGAATGGCCAGTTTCTGTACAGTAACGCTGTACAAATTCCTTAGATGTTACCTTGAATTTCTTACAAATTTTGAATGCATGTTCCTCAACTTTGCGGGCTTTTCCAGAGAGACGTTTCAGGGTCAGTTGGTTATGAAGGTTTGATTGTTCGTTTGGAAGACGCTGACGGGAAATAAAAAAAATCATCAGAAGTTAATCCCAGAAGAATCCCAAAGTCTAACAGCAAAATAAGCAAGGCGAGGATATGGGGAAGGTGTGTGTAGGGAAGGGGTGGTCAGGAGATCAGCTCTTGAAGACAAGGATACAAAATCTGCTGGCTGGGACTGGGGAGGGGGTTCTGATAAAGAACAAAGAAAATTACAGCACAGGAACAGGCCCTTCGCCCCTCCAAGCATGCGCCGATCCAGATTCTCTATCTAAACCTGTTGCCTATTTTCCAAGGATCTGTATCCCTCTGCTCACTGACCATTCATGTATCTGTCTAGATACATCTTAAATGACGCTATCGTGCCCGCCTCTACCACCTCCGCTGGCAACGCGTTCCAGGCACCCACCACCCTCTGCATAAAGAACTTTCCATATCTCCCTTAAACTTTTCCCCTCTCACCTTGAAATTGTGACCCCTAGTAATTGAGTCCTCCACTCTGGGAAAAATCTTCTTGCTATCCACCCTGTCTATACCTCTCATGATTTTGTAGACCTCAAACAGGTCCCCCCTCAACTTCCGTCTTTCGAATGTGAATAATCCTAATCTACTCAACCTGTCTTCATAGCTAGCGCCCTCCATAACAGGAAACATCCTGGTGACCCTCCTCTGCACCCTCTCCAAAGCATCCACATCCTTTTGGTAATGTGGCGAACAGAACTATACGCAGTATTCCAAATGTGGTCGAACCAAAGTCCTATACAATTGTAACATGACCTGCCAACTCTTGTACTCAATACCCCGTCCGATGAATGAAAGCATGCCGTATGCCTTCTTGACCATTCTATCGACCGGCGTTGCCACCTTCAGGGTACAATGGACCTGAACACCCAGATCTCTCTGTGCATCAATTTTCCCCAGGGCTTTTCCATTTACCACATAGTTCACTCTTGAATTGGATCTTCCAAAATGCATCACCTTGCATTTGCCTGGATTGAACTCCATCTGCCATTTCTCCGCCCAACTCCCCAATCTATCTATATTCTGCTGCATTCTCCGACAGTCCCCTTCACTATCTGCTACTCCACCAATCTTAGTGTCATCTGCAAACTTGCTAATCAGACCATCTATACCTTCCTCCAGATCATTTATGTATATCACAAACAATAGTGGTCCCAACACGGATCCCTGTGGAACACCACTGGCCACAGTCCTCCATTTTGAGACACTCCCTTCCACTACAACTCTGTCTCCTGTTGCCCAGCCAGTTCTCTATCCATCTAGCTAGTATACCCTGGATCCCATGCGACTTCCTCCATCAGCCTACTATGGGGAACCTTAAGGCTGGAGGCAGGGCACTTACCAGCAACTGGTCAATAATACAGAACATGTATGTATCATGAAGGATAATCTGTGTGGTCACTTTAGGGTTAAAAGTCACATGTGTGACAGGCGTATCCCGTTCAAGCCAGTGTTGGTGCAATCCCTGTTGCTGCAGTGCACGACTCCACTCAGTGTATTTTTTCTCACTGATGCTGAATTCAAAAATCTGAGGAGATAAAAACGTGGATCATCAAAACGGTGATTCGGCCCCATGGTGTGTCAGCTCTTTGGTAGATCTATCCAATTTTCATCAACACCTCTCAACTCTCCCGTCTGAGCTGTGTGAATCTTTTCCCTTAGATACTGAATTGCTTCTACCACCCTTTCCATTTCAGGTCTCAACTCAGTGTGTAAGATAATGTTTCCTTATGCCATCTCTGATGCTTTTGTGAATAACCTTAAACGTGCTACTGACCCTTCTGCCACAGGGAGATTTCTCCTTATTCAGTTTATTAAAAATGTTGGATACTCCAAACATATTTCCTCTCAACATTCTTCAGGCTAAGGACAATGACCCCAGCTTTTCCAGTCTCTCCACATCCACTGAATTCCCCTACCCGTAGTGCCATGCTGGAACTCTCTCCCTAGCAGCATTGCGAGTGTACCTACACAATATAGACTGCAGCAGTTCCAGAAGGCAGCTTGTCATCACGTTTTCCTGGGGCAGCTAGGGATGGGCAATAAATATTGGCTCAGTCAGTGGCATTCTTATCTCATCAATTAATTTTAAAAATTCAAATAAATCTTCTCTGAATCCTCTCCAAGGATTTGAGATCCTTCCTGAAGTATAGTGCCAGAACTGGACAGAATACTCCAGTTTAGGCTAAAATGTTTTAAACAAGTTAATCAAATTTCCTTACAGTTCTATTCAGAAATCCCATGATCCCTATATGTCTTTACCTTCAAATGTTCGTGGCATTCTTCCAAAAATGTTATGTCCAGAATTAGAACAATACTATAGTTGATGTCTAACAAGTGTTTTGAAAAGATTTAGCTGAACTCCTTACTCTGTGCTCATGCCATCATTACTGACTGTAATAATACCATTGACTTCTTTTAAACAGCCTTCCCAACTTGTTCTAGTACCTTCAAAGGCTTGTGTCCATCCACCCCCAAGTCTCCCTGTAGCTGCAAGCCTTTTAAACTTGCACTTTATTATATCACCTCTCCTCATTCTTCTGTCCAAAATGTATCACTGTATATTTTCCTGCAATAAATTTCATGTGCCACACCTTGCCTGTCTTGATTGTCCATGTCCTCCTGAAGCCTGTTACTTTACTCTAAAACATTTCTGAGTTCAGAGTTGGAAAAATTTGAAATTATACCTTACATAACCATGTCCTGGTCATTAATACATACCAAAAGGAGCAACATCCTCATACTGACCCCTGGGGAACACTTTCTGTTTCTTACTAAATTTTGCATCTACATGTGCTGCCCCCCTTCATCCTTTTAAATTTGCAGACAGAGAATTTCCAAAGAAATCTGACAGCAAGATCCACAGTTTGGATTATTCCATAGTGCTGACAGCTAGGTGCAACGTTAAATACACTTGGCTTCAGTGGGTCATACCTGGTGATCTGTGTGGACAGTAATCAGATTGTTGGTGTGTGGATTAATGGCAATAGCAGTAGGGAGATGATTATAGACTGGAACTGTGCAGTGATTCTGGAAGGAAGAGGAATCCATCAATGCAAAGAATCACACGCCTGGTCAACAGACACCTCACTGTGCTCCCCAGCCAACACCATCTCTTCGTCCCTTCTTCTCCCATTTGATGCCTCACCCCTTCCTCCCTCCAGACACTACTACTTTTCAAATCCCATGTCAATAACTGATAGCCCCTGCCTGAATACTTCTGTATGCAGGCACCAACCCCAGCAACGCCCCCACTCACCCCCAGTCCCAGCAACACCCCCAGAACAGCATCACCCTTTATCACTACCTCATAGCTTTTGTAACCACATCCCTTGATTTTCCATCGGAATCATCCCATTCCCATTTTAAACATTCATAGCTTTTGTAACCACATCCCTTGATTTTCCATCGGAATCATCCCATTTTCATTGATAGCCGATACCACCATCTGGGCCTCGACCTGCCTGACCGGGTTTCACCTCTCGCGTGCTCCTCTGCTTGCCCCAGACATTTGCATTTGCCTGAGGCCTCTGGTTCTTACCTTTAGCTGCTTTAAGTTATAGATGTTGATTTCACAGTCAGAATTTGCAGCTGCCAGCCAGTTGCTATCAGCACTCACTGCCAACAGGCAGACAGGCTCAAGGGAATCTACAGTAGGCGAAAGAGATTCAACAGCTATTCAGGATGAAATGCACAATGACAGGTATAAATTATCAAAACCCAAGTAAACCAAGAATTCACTTGAAGAAAGACAGGATCTCCTTAACACAAATAGTGATTCAGTGAACGTCTGCACCCTCAGGAACTGTGTCCTAGTGTCAATCAGCACCTTCAGGAAGTGAATCCCAGTGAGAAGCAGCACCTTTGGGAACTGTATCCCAGTGAGAGTCAGCACCTTTAGGAACTATATTCCAGTGACAGTCAGCACCCTTCAGCCCCCACCTGCTTCAAGACCACCACCATCCCAGTAACAAAGAAAACTCATGCAGTGTGCCTCAATGACTACTGCCCAGTGGATTCTGATCTCCATAATTATGAAGCGCTTCGAGAGGTTAGTCATGGCTCATATCAATTCTAGCTTCCCAGCATGCCTTGATCCCTTGCAATTTGCCTACCATCGCAACATGTCCACAGCAGATGCCATCTCCCTGGCCCTACACTCACCCCTGGAACATCTGGATAACAAGGATACCTACGTCAGGCTTCTACTCATTGAAGGCAGAGCTGTAGTCAACATTATGACTCCAAGCAAACTAATCTCCAAACTCTGAGACCCAGGGTTCTGCTCCACCCTTTGCAATTGGATCCTCAACTTCCTGATCCACAGACTGCACTCAGCGAGAACAGGCAATAACACCTCCTCCATGACAGTTCTCAACACCGGTGCCCTGCAAGGCTGCGTACTCAGCCCCTCACTATATTCCCTGTACACATATGACCGCGTGGCCAAATTTTATCCTGACTCTGTGTATGAGTTCACTGATGACACCACCAATGTAGGCCAGATTTCAAACATGATGAAACAGAATTCAGGAAAGAGATAGAGTGCTTGGTGGTGTGGTGTAAAGACAACAATCTCTCTCTCTCTCTCTCTCAATGTCAGCAAATGAAAGAGCTGGTCGTTGACTTCAGGAAGCAAGGTGGAGGGCATACCCCTATCTACATCGATGGTGCTGAGGTGGAGATGGTTGACAGTGTTAAGTTCCTGGGAGTGATGATCACCAGCAATCTGTCCTGGTCCACCCACGTTGATGCAGTGGTCAAGAAAGCGCAACAACATCTCTACGTCCTCAGGAGGATAAGGAAATTCAGCACGTCCATGAAGTCTCTTACCAATTTTTAATCAATGCATCATAGAATGCATTCGATCTGAATGCATCACAGCTTGGTTGGACAATTGCTCTGCCTAGGACTGTAAGAAACTACAAAGAATTGTGAACACAAACCAGTCCATCACACAAGCCGACTTTCCATCCGCTGACTCCGTTCATACTTCTTGCTGCCTCAGGAAAGCAGCCAACATCAAAGACCCCTCCCATTCTGGTTATAATCTCTTCTAACCTCTTCCATCAGGCAAAAGATACAGAAGCTTAAACACACATACCAACAGATTCAAGGACATCCTCTTCCCTGCTGTAATTAAACTTCTGAATGGGCCTCTCAAATTTAAAATTTAAAATTTAATGTCGACCTCGCCTTCTCTACAGCTGTAACATGGTATTTCTTGCTCTGTTGTTTTACCCTAATTCACTTTCTATGGTATGAACTACCTGTACTGCACACAAAACAAAATTTTTCATACCTAAGTACACGTGACAACAATAAATCAAATCAAATCTGTTTCCCAGTCAACGTCAACACCTTCAGGAACTGTCTCTCGGTATAAGTTGGGAACAATATAGGAAAACCCTGACATTGTCCTGTCCATTAAATGTAGAATCCTAATAACCATGGAATTAAACCCAGTAATTAACTGCACAGAAGGAATTATCTTGATATTGTGGCGAGTGACTTAACACAAAAAGTGGATAAGTTCCTACGCCCAAGTTTAGAGATTACTATCGTTACATCTGAATGCCAAGCTATCGATTAATTGCAATAATTGGTGGCATTTTGAAGAGGAAAACCCACCAGATTTGGGAGTGAGTATGTGTGCATGCTTGGAATTAAGCATCACCAGATCCACAACCTGAACACGACTACGATCTAAGGCAACAAACAATTTGGTGGAATCGGCAGAGAACAGCAACTGATGAGCTGGCTGCTGTGCCTTCAAAAACTGTGAAGCCTGCAGGAGGGGAAAGAGACAAAATGTGATTTAAAAAAAATGTTAGCAACTGAAAATCATTTATACACAGGCCAGCTGCACCACCTCATTTCATTCCTGCATCCTGATCTCTCTCTCTCTCTCTCTCTCACTCCCGCATCCTTGTCTCTCCCTCTCTCGCGCTCTCTCTCTCTCTCACTTACACACGTGCACACACACATCGTATACACCCCCATCCCCACCCTCCACATCCCAATTGCTCAAATCACAGGAAGACCACACAGCTTCCACCACTAACCCCTATCTTACAAACCTGGATAGCCGACCTACCGCATGAATTGTGACACTGTCATTTTCATACTGTATTCGATAGAGACGGACTCTGTAAACGTTTGAGAAAGCAATCCAGGTTCCACAAGGAGAGAGCGCACAGCACCGTATGTGATCACAACCCTATACACGAAAAATGACAAACCAAAACCACTCATTGGAGTATAAATTCATTGGAGAATGAGTGATGATCATAGAAGATCCTGAGTTGTGAGGGCAGATGCTGAGAGAACATTTTCCCCATGAAGGAATCTAGAGCTTAAGATACAGTTTCAAAAGATGGGGGTCTCCCTTTTAAGATCAAGATGATATGGCATTTCTTCTGAGAGGGTCATTAGTTTTGGAATGTTCCTTCAGAGAGCTGATGAGGTTGGGTCATTGAATATATAAAAAGCTGAATTAGATATTAAATCTGCAAGACAGTCAGGCAGGAAAGTGGAGTTCAGGCAACATTCCAGATCAGCCATGATCTTATTGAATGGTGAAGGGTTAAATGGCCTACTCTTGCTCCTAATTTGTGTGTGATCATATGAGCCCAGTGTATCAGGGCTCAGTCACACAATAAGCCCTATGTGCACAAATGGCTTGTGGTGAGCGCTGCTGGCTTCAGTTTGAGGGGAGAAATCAGTCACTGTAAGGTGAGCACATTGTTTATTAAGTTGTCACACAAAGCTGTACAGCCTAGAGCTAATTGGACCAGACAGACAGAGTTTAAAACATCCACTGCTAATATCAACATCAAAATCCTCCAGTTCCTCCCACACACCTTGTTCTTTAATTGCAGCAACTTCTCTGGCTTTTTGCTAATTGGAAGGATATCTCCAGGAATCCCTGCATACAATGAGAAATAGAAAAAAATCACATGAGATGAAATGAAAACAAGTCCACACAAACTGGAAATAAACACTTGTAGCAAAGTCTATATTAAAATCAGATCTCATTTGGACAGACCCAGAATCACAGCAGAGAAACTAGCATCAAAATGGGCCAAGAGACAACTGTATTTTTAACACAGCCAAAAGCTTACCTCAAGGCTTTAAGTGTATTGAAGGTGTATAGCTTGGTAAGGTGTATATTGTATGGGACATGTGCTCTGATGAAATTTGTTTCTTTGTATCCAGTTGTATTGTAGAAGCCAACAACAAAATAGTGATCATAACACAATTGAGTTCAACATAGCATTTGAAAGCAAAAAGCATGAATCAGCTACTAAAGTTTTAGACTTGGGTAAGACTGATTTTAATGCACAGTTATTCACATCATTTATTAATGACTTGGATAACAGCATTGTAATTCAGGGAACCCAGTATATCATGTTTCTGGGTAGCTATTTTCAAACTTGATGCAGGGATTTGAATAGTCACTCAAAACAGTTCAGTAGTTACAGTTAGTGAAGAGTCAGACGCAGGAAGACAGTGAAAGAGAGTGAGACAGAAGCAGGTTCAATATAGGGCAAGTGCTGTTAGCTGTACTGCTGAGAAAGCTGCTCATTCGGTGTAGATGTGTTGAGAGCAAAGTCCCAAGAGCAGTTGGCTATACTTATGAAGTTAGAACTCTATATAGTCCTAGGGGTCAGTAGGGGTCAGATCTTACTGAGCAAGATCAGAGCTCAGAAAAAGAAATAAAATCCAGGGACAGAACAAGCTTGAAGCTAACTGTCCATGAAAAGCTGGAGTTGTGCCTGTGAGTAACTGCCAGATTCTGCAGTTACCAGAATTTAGGAAAATACAGTCCAATGATTAGGGGTGCTTAGAAAGGCTAAGACTGTTCTTTGTAGAAAAGAACAAGCGACCATCAATGGTTTTGACAAATAGAGAACACAAAATGGTTAATTGTTGGAGGACTCAAGTACAAAGCAGTTGGTAAAAGAATGAGAACAGAATGAAAAGAAAAATACAGCAAGTTGTGATTTTGTTTATGCTATCTTTAAGTGTGATGAAACCAGATTCAATAGAAGTTTGAAAGGTAAGTGGATAGATCCATGAAGGGACAAATTTACAGGTTTATGGTTTTCTGGATATCTTTTTTAAAAGAAAGGCTGACAAAAACCTGATTGGATCAATGGACTCCTGTTATGTTGTATATTTTACAATTCCAAACATGCAAAAAACTTTCCATAATTGTTTAAGTAACTTAGACCCTTCCCTCCATAACACTGCACTCAGAGCAACAGCACACCACAAAAGGGCATCAGCAGGGCAATGCTGAATCCAAGGCTTCAGCATGGTAACACTGCACTCAGAACATGAATTAACATTGTCCCAACCATACCAGTGGCATTTAGCAATATTGCTGTTTTACTTTGGTTCACTATTGTGCAGTGATGCACTTCCAATTCTTCAGTACACTGTTCTTCGTTATGTTTGGACAGCAAGTTAAATTTGCATTGTTTCCAAAAGCTGTTTATCCACAGCACACTATACAAAACATAATTGTTTACCTGAACCTCCTGGGCTACCCAATCGCCACAACTCGAGCTGGTCTGGGAATTGAAACAGGAGTAGATTCGCCTTCCGGCTGCAACAGACTAGGTTTCGCTGTGAAGAGGTCAAAGAATTGATTTAAAAATTTGCTCACCTCTCTTTCCTATTGCTTCAATTGATTTTACAAAGCACTACCCACAAAATATCAGGTAACACTCAGGCTATTATGGGGAAGTGATGGCCTAATGGTATTATCACTAGGTCATGAGTCCACAGATCCTGACGTTCTGGGGATCTGAGTTTGAATCCTGCCATGGCAGAGGGTGGAATATGAATTCAATAAATATCTGGAATTAGAAGTCTAATGATGACTACGAAACCATTGTCATAGAAGCATAGAATCCCAGTGTGGAAACAGGCCATTTCCCAACAACTCCACACTGATCCTCCGAAGAACATCCTACCCAGACCCATCCCCAACCCTATCCCTGTAATCCTGCATTTCCTATGGCTAATGCACCTAAGCTACACATCCCTTAACACTATGGGCAATTTAGCATGGCCAATCCACCTAACTTGTACATCTTTGGACTGTGGGAGGAAACCAGAGCACCTGGCAGAAACCGATGCAGACATTGGGAGAACATGCAAACTCCACACAGTTGCCAAAGGTTGGAATCGAACCTGGGTCCCTAGCGCTGACAGGCAGCAGTGCTAACCACTGAGCCACCGTTCCGATTGTCAGATAAGCCCATCACTAATGTCCTTCAGGGAAGGAAGCAGCCATCCTTGCCAACTGTGACTCCAGACTGACAGCAATGTGGGGTTGATATTTCATTATGGACAGCTGGGGATGGGTAATAAATGTTGGTCTGGCCAGTTGTGTCTACATCCCCTGAAGGACTAAAAGAGAAAAAAATTCTGCTTCTTGTTCCACAATTCCTCCGAAGGTTGGACTCTAGTTGGGGTTGTCGTCTGACCTCCTGCATTCTACAACGCAAGTAAAGTCATAATGGCACAGCTCGAGGCCATTAAACTCATCAACTCAATGCCAGCTCTGTGCAGAGCAAGCCAGTCTCTTTCTCCCACTTAATCCCTGCAGTCTGACAAATTTGTTTCCGTTATGTGCCTGTCCAGTTTCCTTTTGATATCACTGAATGTCTCCCCATCCACCAACCCCGTAAGCAATGCCTAATAGACAGCAAGTTCTGGTACGTTACCAGTAGCTGCTTAAAAAAGGTAATTTTTACATTCTCCCTTCATCTCTTGCTCAAAACCTTAAATCTGTGTCTTCTGGTCCTAGCACCATCAGCCAACAGGAAAGATCATCTTCTACCTTTTCCAAGCCTGTCATAATCTTGTACACTTTCAGTAAATCCATTTTCTATGTCCTGTGCTCCAAAACAAATGCAAATATAAAATGTAAATTTATTAGTGATAGGCAGCGTGGCTTTGTGCAGGGAAGATCGTGTCTCACAAAAGTGACAAAGATGACTGGTGAGGGCAAGGCAGTAAATGTTGTCTATATGGACTTTAGCAAGGCCTTTGAAAAGTTCCCTCATGGCAGGCTAATACAAAAAGTGAAGTCACATCGAATCCGCAGTGAACTGGTAAGATTGATGCAGAATTGGCTTAGTCACAGAAGAGGCAGAGTAGCGGTAAAAGAACGTTTTTATGACTGGACATCTGTGATCAGCGGTGCTCCACAGGAATCAGTGCTGGAACCCTATTGTTTGTAATATATTTTAAAAAATGATCTAGAGGAGAATGTGGGTGACCTGATCAGTAAGTGCGGATGACACAAAGATCAGGGAAGCTGCGGATAGTGAGGAGGATTGCCACAGGATACAGCAGGATATAGGCAGGCTGGAGGCTTGGACAGAGAAACAGCAGATAGTGTTTAATCTGGGCAAATGAGAGGTGATACATTTTGGGATATCTAACGGAGGAGGGAGGTATACAGGAAATGGCAGAACACTTAGAAGCATCAGCATACAGAGGGATTTAGGCATACAGGTCCACAGTTCCCTAAACTGGCAACACAAGTGGATAACATGGTCAACTAGGTACATGGCATGCTTGCCTTCATCGACAGGGACATAGAGTATAAAAATTGGCAAGTCATGTTGCAACCATATAGAACATTAGATAGGCCACATTTGGAATATTGTGTAGAATTCTGGTCACCACACTACCAGAAGGATGTGGAGGCTTTCGAGAGGGTTTACCAGCATGTGGACTGGTTTGGAGGGTATTTGCTTTGAGGAGAAATTGGAGAAACTTGGTTTGTTTTCACATGAATGTCAAAGGATTAAGGCTGACCTGATAGAACTTTACAAAATTACAAGAGGAATGGACAGAATGGATAGAATGGATAGTCTGATTCTTTTTCCCATGGTTGAAATGTCAATTGCTAGGAGATATAGGTTTAAGGTAAAAATGGCTAAGTTTAAAGGAGATATGAGAGGCAGATTTTTCTACAGAGGGTACTAAGTGCCTGAAATGCGCTGCCAGAGGTGGTGGTGTAGGCAGATACAATAACAACATTTAAGAGGCATCTTGACAGATATATGAATAGGCAGAAAACAGAAGGAAACAGACCGTGTAGAAGCAAAAAGTTTTTTGTTTAGAAAGGCATCCTATGTCAGTGCCATCTAGTGGATCAAACAGCCTGTTCTTGTGCTGTATTCTTCACTGTTCTTTTCAAACCCATCATAATCTTGTACACTTTAATTAAATCCATTTCCTCCCTCCCGTGCTCCAAAGCAACCTCACCTTCAGCAACCTAACCTTGTACCTATAAGCCATAATTCTTTGAATCATGCTAGTTTTCTAAAAATTAATTCATTCATGAAACATGGGCAGTGCTGGCTGGCCAGCATTTATTGCCTGTCCTTAATTCTCCTTGGTGGTGAGCTGCCTTCTTGAACTGATGCAGTCCACATGCTGTAGGTTGACCCACAAGCCCCTTATGGAGGGAATTCCAGGGTTTTGACCCAGGAACAGTGAAGGAACAGTGATATATTTCCAAATCAAGATGGTGAACAGCTTGGAGCGAAACATGCAAGTGTTGGTATTTTCGCATATCTGCTGCCCTTGTCCTTCCAGATGGAAGTGGTCATGGGTTTGAAAGATGCAGGCTGAGGAGCTCTGGTGAATTTTTGCAGTGCATCTTGTAGATATTACACATTGCTACTACCAAGCATTGGTGGTAGAGGGAGTCAATGCTTGTGGATGTGGTACTAATCAAGTGGGATGTTTTGTCTTGGATGGTGTCAAGCTTCTTGAGTATTAGTGGAGCGTCAAGTTCTGGAGCACAAATCTTCTATATTATTGCCGGAACATTGTTAGGGCCCATAGCCTTTGCACTGTCTGGTGCCTCCAACCATTTCTCGAATCCAGCGGAATGAATCAAATTGTCTAAAGACTGGTATCAGTGTTGCTGGGGGCCATGGAGGATGCTGAAATGGATCATCCACTTGGCATTTCTGGCTGAAGATTGCTGCAAATGCTTCAGCCTTTTGTATTGATGTTTTGGGTTCTTTCATCATTGAGGATGGAGATATTTGCGGAGCCTCCTCTCATTGTGAGTTGTTTAATTGACCACTACCATCCACAACTGGATGTGGCAGGACGTCAGTGCTTAAATCTGATCCATTGGTTGTGGGATAGTAACATAGAAGCACAGAAAATCTCCTCTGCACCCCCTCAAAGACCCTCACATCCTGGCTAAAGGGTGGTGACTGGAAATTGTTTCAATATTCTAATTATGCCCTAACCAGTTCTTCGTAAAGATTCAGCATTACATCTGTGCCTTGTATATGTTTTTATGAAGTCCAAGATTCCAATCGGCCTGGGTAACCAATCTCTCAATTTTTCCTTCAACAATCTAGGTTCGTGATACCCCAGGTTCCTCTGCAGCTGCATAGTCTTTAGAATGGTCCCATTCAGTCTCTCCCTATCGCTTCACCAAAATGCTTCACTTCACATTTCATCCTATTAAGTTCCAACTGATACTTGTCTGCCCATTCTAATGTTATGGCCTATTGCAATCAATTGTTATTATCCTCAATGACAGCCATACCTCCCAAGTTTATTATTATCCAATTTTGGAATGTTACCATTTTTTTTCCAATATCTAACTAATTTATATTTAATTGCTTGGTAATATAGAACTTAAAAGATTGTTAAAAAGTAAGCCACAAAGTTGAAGCTTTCTATCTTGCCTTCATCAGGACAGAGATGCAAGAAACTAGACTCAGAAGGAGCATTAATTGAAACAGCATGAGAAGACAGAGCTCACTGGTTGGATAATTGTCAGCATGGAGATGCAACAAATCAGTTTAATGTTTGTCAGAGACAAAAACAGAAATTGCTGAAAAAGTTCAGCAGGTCTAGCAAGATGTAGAAAGAAATCAGAGTTAACATTTCGGCTCAAGAGACTCTTCCTCAGAACTTCACTTGACCCGAAACGTTAGCTCCGATTTCCCTCCACAGATGCTGCCATACCTTTTCCAACAACTTGTATTTTTGTCTCGGATTTGCAGCATCCGCAGTTCTCTTAGTTTTTAGTTTATGATTGTTATTTGGACTTGCAGAATGACTTATTCATGCATGCTGGAAGCTACAAATGTTCACACGTTCTGTGTAGAAAAAAAGAATTTATTCATACCTCGCTGCAACGTTTACAGAGATGTCAATCCCTGTTGCACTTTCCATGCCAATGCTTGAACTAATCAGAGTATACCTACCTGGTTTAAGTTTAATCAGCTAACCAAGATTGACAGTTAACAATTCCTACTAATTTTCCACGATAACTACAGTCTCAGAGGATTAGATAGGGTGGACAGTGGGAGCCTTTTTCCTCAGATGGTGATGGCTAGCACGAGGGGACATAGCTTTAAATTGAGGGGTGATAGATATAGGACAGATGTCAGAGGTAGGTTCTTTACTCAGAGCGTAGTAAGGGCGTGGAATGCCCTGCCTGCAAAAGTAGTAGACTCGCCAACTTTAAGGGCATTTAAATGGTCATTGGATAAACATATGCATGATAATGGAATAGTGTAGGTTAGGTGGGCTTCAGATTGGTTCCACAGGTCGGCGCAACATCAAGGGCCGAAGGGCCTGTACTGCGCTGTAATGTTCTGTGTTCTATGTTCTAACTAATCAACACAGTCTTCACATGCTATATAAATTATTTTCCCTTCCTAAGTCTGGTTTCTTGCATGTCAGTCCTGATTAGTGTAAGATGGAAAAATACACATCAAAAAGCAGTGATTCCAGCAATGAACTCGAGAACATACTGTTTTCCATTCTCCAGTCTGATAAACAATCTTTTACCACAGCTCACTGTTTAGTTTGAAGCTAATTTTGTATCTAAGCGGCCACTGACTCTCCTAAGCATACATAAGGTCTAGGCGACTGAAAACAGATGAAACTTTGGAAGAATATCGGGAAAGTAGGACAAATCTGAAACGAGGAATTAAAGGGCTAAAAGGGTCATGAAATATCTTTAGCAAACAGGGTTAAGGAAAATCCCAAAGCCTTTTATTCATACATAAGGAGCAAGAGGGTAACGAGAGAAAGGGTTGGCCCACTAAAGGACAAAGGAGGGAAGCTATGCGAGGAGTCAGAGAAAATGAGTGAGATTCTAAATGAGTACTTTGCGTCGGTATTCACTGAGGAGAGGGACATGACGGATGTTGAGGTTAGGGATAGATGTTTGATTACTCTAGGTCAAGTCAGC